AGGAGCGGCCGCGGGTGGCAGCCCTAGCCGCCAGCATCACACTTACTTGGAGTGGAGCCCGTCCTTGCCGTAGGGCTGCAGCAGGTACTGGTGGACGATCTTATCCCGCAGCGTCCCCGCCAGCTTGATTTTCTTCCGGGAGCGATGCAGGTTGATGATGTAAAGGGTGATGGACCCCCGGACGTAGTTGTGGCTGCAAAGGGGAGAGCGGGAGCTGAGGGGCGCGTTGGCATGTGCCCCGGGAGCATCACTTCCAAGAAGGGGTTTGGGGGTCTCTGCAAAAACTGGCCTCATGCACCCATCCAGAGGGAACATCACCTTCCCAGCTGCCCTTCCACAGGGAGATGCCATCTCCCCATCACAAAGCCCGATGACACCTTCCCAATCTCCCCCTCCCCTCTTTGGCCAGGGGTGGTACAGCTCGAGGGGGCGCCGCACCGGTGTCTGGAGTGGGGGTGGAGGTCCCGGGGCAGCCCCCCAGGGCCTCGCAAGGAGGAGGCTGAGAACGGAGGGGGGCTCTGTGCACGAGTGGCATCTGCCCCCGCTGCCCCGGGCACCTAACTGACAGGTCCAGACACTGATCCTCTGTCCCTGCCTAAACAGGCAGCCCCAAACAAAGGCGAAAGCACTTTGCACCTGTCAGTTACTGGACAAGGTTTCCTACCGAGCTGGAGGCATGTTGAAAGCATCTGGACTGTGTAAAGAAACAGCCTCTCCTCCTCCACAATAGCAACTTGTGTCTGCGGAGGAGGTGGCCAACCCCCCCGGCTTGCTGGGGCGCTTTCAAAGACCTTATCAGCGAAACAATAACCAGGACGGGCTCCCTGGCAGCGCGGCCCGGCGGGTAACCCGACCGACTGGGGGCCCCTCGTGTGAAATCCACTCCCTTGATCTCTGCTGCCCGGGCTGCCTGCTGGCCACCGCACCGTCCCCGGCCGTCCCCGTTCCCAGGCACGGGCTTGCCGCGACTTTCATCGGAGGCATTGCTGTTCCCGCGCGCTCCCTCCACCGCCACAGCAGCCAGAACAGTACCTGAGTGCATCCCTTGGGAAGCCAACCTGCCTTGCCGGAGCCAAACCCTGGGCTCCTGCCCCAGCATGTCCTCGGTGGTCCCCATCTCCTGGGGGTCCTGCTTATTCCCCCCCTGCAGCCCCC